GCTCCAGCGGTCCGGGTGCCACGGGCAGCGGACCGAGGGGTAGGAGTGAGAATGGAGGGGATAGGGAGAAGGGACAGCTCTCTGAGGCATTCCCCCATCCAGGAACCGCAGCGAGGTCATGAGTCAGAGGCGTTCTCTCCCCCGCGGCGGAGCGGCCAAGCTGGCAGATCCGGACGCGCCACCTGCCGGCTCCGGAGCGCGGGACTCGCGCGGTCTGGCAGCGCCACCTGGTGGCCACAAAGGAAAGCACAGCCCGGCGGGCCGGCAGCGTCGCCGCCCAACTCCCTCCGCGTGGCCAGGGCGGGGCCTAGTGGCTGGGGTCGCGCCGGTGGGGGTCCCTTACTTGGGCCCAACAGCCACCTAACAGCGCCCGGCTGGACCCTCGCTCCCGCAGCTCCCAGAACCCCGGGGATTGGACTTCCGGGAACGGCCCGCCTTCGTCCTTGCCCTCCCTCTAGCTCTTTGGCTGTGCCTTCTTGGATGAATTGCTTAATGCCTCTGAACCTCAGTTTCTTCTTCTGCGAAAAAAGGGGCGGGGAGGTGCTGACAATGGCACATGTCTGGCTGGTGGTGAGTGCACCGAGTAACCCCCAGAGCCGCTGGGTCACCGCGTTCCACCAAAGTCTTTGGTCCAGGTACAACTGGGAGGTGGGAGATGAGTTAGTTGTGCGTGGGGGCCAGGACAGGTGATCACCAAAATACGCCCTTGCCCCTGGAGCCCAGGAGCTTCTGGGGGCAACTACCAGGCTCACTAACCCCCCAGGCCGACATTAGCCAAGCCAGACTCCTTCTCAGGCTGCACCACGCGGTCCCTCCCATAGAACCCGGTCCTGCTGCGGGGCTGGAGAATTAGCCCCAGAGTGAGGCCGGGGCAGGCAGGGACGCAAAGCCTCTGATCGCCAAGTGAACCCCTGAGTTCCAAGAAGACTCAGTCTTAGCTGTTATTGGGACAGGGTCAGTTGAAGTCTGCAGGAGGCCTCGCTGGCCGTCAGTCCCCCAGTCCCAGAGCCCAACCTGCCTTCTGCTGCCCTCCCCATTGGCTGCCTCCACAGGTGGCTAGCAGGGAAGCCGTGAGAATCAAACATTCTGATCCCAACATCAGAACCACCTGCAGGGCCTGTTAAAACACAGATTGCTGGGTACAGTCTCCACAGTTCTGATTCAGCAGATCTTGGGTGGAGCCTGAACAAGCTCTCAGCGGATGCCAATACTGCTGGCCCACTGAGACCCACTGAGGTCGAGTCAGACTAGACCTGGGTGTGAACCCTTGCTCCATCACTTATTAGCAAGGAAACTGTGAGCTAGTCACAGCTTTTGCTCTGCTCTGGATCCTGCATTTGCTCGTCATCATCTAACGCCTGTTCTTGGGACTTGAGCCAGCAGCCTGCCGTCTGACCTGCCAATCTTGGATTTGTCGGCTCCTGCAGCTACGTGAGTCAGGAGAAGCCTCCAGCCTGATGCCTGACCCACAGATTTCCCAGCCTCTCCAACCGCATGAGCCATTTCTTTGATATAAATGTCTCTATGTATATATATACACTTCACTAGTTTTGCTTCTCTAGAGAAGCCAGCCTAAGACATTTGGCTCATCTGTAAAACAGGGACAATCGGCCCTCTCAGCGCAGCCATGAGCATTTAGATGAGAGGGTGCACATAAAGGGTCCAGCTCAAGGGCTGGCTGGCACACAGTAGGTGTGCAGTAAGTGCTGGCTGCTCTCCTTGGCATTTCTGTGCACCTGAGTTCTGCCCAGAGCCCTCGAATACGTGGCAGATGCTGTGAGGTGGGGGTGGTGGGATGAAAAGGAGAGCGCACAGCGATAAGAAAGACACTCTTTATTCAGGCAGCTCAGAGCCTGGGCGAGGAGACAAAAGGTGAGCACACAGCCACAGTCCCGTATCAGAGGGAGGGTATACAGTTGGTGTGGTGGAGCATGGGGAAGGCAAGGGAACCACTTCCAAGGGTCAGCGGATGCTACCTAAAGGAGATGACACCTGGGCTGAACCTCGAAGGTTAAGTCTTCATCCGTCCTAGAAGGCAGAAGGCCATTTTGGGCCGGGAGAACAGCTAGTGCCATGGTTCTCAACTCTGGGGGCATAGTGGAATCACCTGGGACCTTTGAAAAACCCTAGTGCTCAGGTGGCACTCTGGACCAACTGCATCCACATCTAGGGGGAAGGGAAGGGCAGGAGGGAGACACATGAAATCGTCAATGCTCCCAAGGTGTCAGTGTGCAGCCGAGGTTAAGAAGCAAAGCCGTGGAGGCATGAATGCCCAGTCCTGCACAGGGACGAGGGAGTAAGGAGCCCAAGGTGGCTGGAACAGGCAGGAAGTGAGGCAGGCAGGCAGGCTGGGCCATGTCCTCAGAACCATGGAAGAAAGTTGACTGCCAAATGATCATGACCTTTAATTTCTTTAACGTGTTATTAGTTGCATCAAGTCAATTCAGACTTACGGTGACCCCACGTGTCTCCCTGACAAACTCCATATTTGCATTTGAATAGGACTCACAGTTGCCTCCAGAAAGGCGGGGCTGAGTTCAAGACCACCTGAAATGAAATTATCAGTATATTCTTGATTCATCTTTGGACACCCTGCACGTGTCATATCAAACACCAAACCAAACCCATTGCCGTCAAATCACAGCGACCCTGTATGTTACAGAGTAGAACTGCTCCATAGAGTTTTCTTGGCTGTAGTCTTTTTGGAAGCAGATCAACAGGCCTTTCTTCTGTGGTGCTGCTGGATGGGTTCAAACCTCCAACCTTTAGGTTAGTAGCTGAGAGCAAACTGTTTGTGCCACCCAGGGAACTCAGCATCTGTCCTAGAGCCTGGCGAACAGCAAGCACTCAATGAATGTTTGTTGAGCTGAACTTTGAATAGCCCTTCAATCCGATCATGTGCTCTCACTTACCTGGCCAATCTTGACTGCATATGGGTTCAAGGGGCCTCGAAGCACCTAAGCTGGGCTACTGTGGCTTCAGGGATGCCATGAAACTCCCTAAGAACACTAGTCCCTATGGCTTCGTGTATTTCATTGGTTCTTGCACACACCTTGTCAATCGTTTCCTGAGGTAAGTTTGAGGGGCTGAAGGGGCAGAAAGCCTACTGGGGAAGAGGGTTAAAGATCCAGAAAGGGAGAATTGAAACCTCTCTGAAAAAGAAAGCCGGCCCTTCACACTTAGGAGAATTAAAGGTGGAACAGAGACGCCTCAAAAGACAGAGGTTTCATTTCTTTTCAGACTGAAACCTCTTGGCATTTTTTCTGGGTTTTTGCAGTTTTCGAGAGCAAAGTTTGCCATTTACCCAGGGACTGACTAATTTTGTTAATCACAGGACACAGGTTAATTTTTGCAAGAGTCTCTGAGAGAAGTAAGATCTAGTCATAAGACATTTCTAACAACTGACAAGGGGAATAGTAAGAGACTCTTGTGCTACCCCAGGCGCCTGCCAACCGTTTCATATACCAACTTATTTGCATCCTTTCCCAGGCTGGGGTAGGATTTGAGTGCAAGCGGGTTATCTGGGGGATGGTATGAAAAAGTCCCAAAAGAGGAGTAGAGAAGTGATACAGGGAGGTGAAGGGAGCTATACAGGGAGGGCTAAAGGGCAACCGAGGCTCAATTATACTGGGGAACTCACAGAGACAGTGGTGAACATGCCCCTAGAGTAATTCCACAGCTGGGGCAAGGAACCTGGGCCATTTAATCACCAACTCCCATCAATCATTGTTTGGGGGCTGCTCCCAGGGGTGTTAACTCCTTGGCACATCTGGCCTGCCCTGCACATGCCCACGTTTTAGTGGCCAGAGAAAGTTCTCAAGTAAAGGGAGCTAAAGTGTCAGGGGATGTGGGTGGAGCACCTACAGCATCTGCTTCGTGGCCAGCCCATGCACATGCCAACTGATTCATGAACAGCTCAGGAGTGTATCCACCCAGTGAGTGCCAACCCTTTTGTGTACCAATCCATTCAGTTAGGGGTCAACACTTTTCATGTGCCAATTCATTCAGGGGTGCCAATCAGATGCCAATTAGTGAGAAATGCGGTCTACACAAACTGTGGCAATCAGGAGAGACCACAGGCCCCTGTGAGCACAGATTACAATTCCACTCAGTAGCATGGATGTAATGTGGGGGGCTGGGATGGGGCTGATTCTGTGTGCATTTGTGCAGGTCACTCAAGGGAAGAAGGAGCCCTCAGACCAGCTCTTTGGTCCCCTGCCAAGGACACTGTGGATCAAGGGCCTGGAAATGAGTTGTTCCTTATTCCAAAGTAAAGCAGGGTTTCACCCCATCCCATTTCTGAGCATTTGCACAAGGATGGGCTGGGCACAGCTGGAAGGACAGGATGGGCACAGGTGAGAGGGTGGTGAGGGTGGCATCACAGTCATGCCCACAGCCTTGCTCATCCTCCACAGAAGGTACTTGCTTTTAAGAAGCCACCCTTGTCCTCTCTGGGATGTCTGCGCCTCTCCTTTCATTTGTTTCTATATAATAAGCATTTAGTATGTGCCAACGGTGTGCACACAGAGTTTCATCAAGGGTCAACAGGGAGCAGCTTAGGAAGAGTTTAATTCAGCTGCAAGTACAAATTCCAAGAACAAGTGTAACTTTTTGTGGCGTCACAAGAACATCAGTGACATCCATAAGGTTTCACCTAGATAAGGTGGTGCTGTTTTAAAATGAAGACAGGGAATTAATTGGACTTTGGGGGACGGTGCTCGTTTTCTTTCTTTCAGTGTCTTAATGTCCTGATAGGAAGGGCATTGACCAGATGGCTGCAGGGTTTCACAACTGAAATATTTGCATAACGTGTTGTTGTTGTTCGTTGCTGTCAATTCAGACTCATGGTGACCCCATGAGTCCTCACGCAGGCTTTGTCTCCCAGCCCCAAGGTATGACAGGCCACAGTGCCACCAGTTCTACCCACTCTGTCCCAAAAGACAAGCCGAGGAAACTCGCTTGGCCAGTGTCTGTCCCACGAGACAGCGGCCCGTCACTTTTTAACGGTGGTAGAACTTCCCTCCTGCAAAGAACAGCATGAGCTTTTTGCAGATGTGAATCAACCTGTTTTGCACCAACTTGGAAGCAATACACACAATCCCCATCCCAGCAATAATATAAATGGGGAAGAACATGAAGATGTTTGGGTGCTCCAGAACGATATCCCCAAACCCGATGGTGGTCAGGGTGACAAAGCAGAAGTAAAAGGCGTCCTCGAAGGCCAGCTGCTCCTCCCAGATGGGGAGAACGGTGGCCGCACAGGCAATGCAGGCAAACACAATGAGGGCAATAAGGGCAAGGGGCACATCCTACCTCTCCACCTGTCACCCGACTTCATCCAGGTCGCTGATGATGCAGGCGGAGAGTCTCCCCGACACCAGCTCAGGGCACAAGCTGCTCCCTTCCATGCCTGGGGGGGGGTAGCTGCAGCGTGTTCTGCTTCTCTCATGCAAGAAGTCGCTCCAACAGTTCCGCTCTGTGGCTCTGGGCTGGAGGGCCCTGGCCAGGTGTGAGGCCCGGCAGCTCCTCAGCACTGATGATGACCTTCATCTCCAGGCTTGGCATTAGGCCTTCTCTTGCAAAGCATTCAGGGTCGCCACTTGGGGATGTGAGGGGTCTGGAAAGGGAGTTTCCGGAAGCTGTTGTAAGACGTCGATAAGATGGCTGCCAGGATGTTGCCTGTGTCCATGAGGACCAGGAACACGAGGGGGATGCCCAAGAGTGCACAGAGTAGGCACAAGTACTTGCCCAGCCTGGTGACGGGGCAGACGTGGCCGTAACCTGCAAAAGAAGACAGAGCTGGGGCTGTCATCTCCCCTACACCCTCTCCTCCCCACCCCCCACTCAGAAAAGGACCTCTGCCATTTCCCCTCCTTGGCATGACATTTTGCACAATGTGTTTGTCAAGTATTCATCTTAAAGTATTCATCCACCTAGCTGGCATTAGGGCTGCTTAGGGGGATGGGGTGAAACCCCGCTTCTCTTTAGAATAAAGAGCAACTCGTTTCCAGACCCTTGATCCACAATGTCCTTGGCAGGGGACCAGCACATGTTTGGGAGTAAGCTGACTGTCCTGCATTTGGCCATCGGCATTTCTGAGCATTTGCATGAGGATGGGCTGGGCTCACCTGGAAGGACAGAATGGGCACAGGTGAGAGGGTGGTGATGGTGGTGTCACAGTCATGCCCACAGCCCCCTTCATCCTCCACAGGAGGTACTGGCTTTTAAGAAGCCACCCTTGGCCTCTCTGATATGCCTGGGCCTCTCTGTTTGTTTCCATATAATAGGCATTTATTATGTGCCAACCGTATACACAGCAATGTGCATGGTATTTGGAATGATAGAAAGATGGGAGATGAATAAGATACAGTGGCTACCCTCAGCCACTTGTGGTCTAGCAGATGAGACAAACATGTCCATAAATGACAGTAAAGTGGTTACGATCCCTGCATCTAGGATCTGATGGCCCTTGGTTCGAATCCCAGCTCTGCCATGTACTAGTAAGTTACTTGACCGCTCCCGTGTTCAGGTTGCGTATCTGTAAAATGGGGATGACAGTGTCTACCTGATATATTGACTGGTCACAGAGATTACATGAGCCCGGTGCCAGACACTTAGTGGGCGACTGGGAAATGCTGGGGTCCTGTCTCTGGAGAGGTGATAATAGCCTTTTGAGCACTTACTGTGGGCTGGACATCAACCAACCTTCATAGATAGGTATTGTTATCACCACACACAGATGGGGAAACACGCTCAGAGGAATGAAGTGAGTTGGCCACGAACGTACATTTGATCAGCGGTGGAGTTGGGATGCAAACCCACAGGGCTGTCCCAAACCAGCACTCTCAACCTCCCCTAGGTCAAGATGGTCCCTGAGGGCGGAACCCTTTCACTGGCGAGAACCAGTCAGTCAAGCAAAGGAAAGGGGGCGCTGAGGCACCCCCATGCTCTTCAGGAGCCCCGCCCACCCCCCACCCCCCCATCTACACAGGGGCGGGGGCAGAGAGAAAGCCAAAAGAAAATGGTTGCATCTTGCGGGATGGGCAAGCTTCGATGACTTCAACAAGCAGAGGAAAAGCTTTTGTATGTAATACCTGTGTTTAACTTTTGGTGTCATAAAGGATGATTAATTCAGAAAAAGAAAAAACAGCCTGATTAGGTAAATTAATTTGAAGACCAATCCTAGGATGGCTAAACTCCAACCTCCTCAAGGCTGCAGCTCCCTATGGCCAACTCTAGCCTCAGGCTCCACCATCCAGGAATATCCATGTGCTTGAGTTGTCCACCCTCACCAGGGTCCCGGGGTGGGGTGGGGGGGCCTGTGGCCCTTGTAAGGGCCTCATCTGTTTGCTTTGTCTAGAATATTCTTGCTCCAGATATCCATATGGCGTACTCCCTCCCTTCCTTCAACTCTCTGTTCAAAGGTGACCGTCTCAGGGGATCTTCCCCGACCACCCCATTTCAAAATGCAGCCTCCACCCTTCCCACCCCCTTCCTTTCCCTCCTTTATTGTTCTCCATAACACTTATACATTTGTTGCTTGTCAGTCTCTCCCAACATAAACTCCATCAGGACAGTGGTTTTGTCTGTTTCATTCATCGCTGGACCCCCAGTACCTAGAACAGTGCCTGGCACATCAATAAATGTGTTGAATGAATGAATACGTTCATTTCACATTTAGTGAGGACCGACTTTATGCCAGACACTTGTGCGTGAGGTCGGGGGATACTAGGAGGAACAAGCAGAGGCCTTGCCTTGTAGGAGCTCCCGGTTCACAGGGAAGCAAAGCCTCGAGCTTGGCTGTCCACTGTCCCACAGGATGCAGCAAAGCCCCAACAGACACAGGCACCAGGGCTCAGGAGTAGGGGTGCTGCAGTGGTTAAATCTCGCATCTGAAACCTAGCTTTGTCCCGTGGGGCAGGACAACCTGCCAAGAGAGTGGGTTTTGATTGCCTATATTTCCCCTTCCCTGTTCCCTGAAGGGCTCCAGCAGTTGTGTACCACCCCCTTGGGGAGCAGGGTTTACAGAAGAGGAGAGCCTCCCTCCCAGGCATCAGCAGAAGCCCAGAACCCCAGAGGAGATCCTGCGGGAGCCTAAGGAAAAGGAAGGGGGAAGGAGACAGAGGTGGGCTGTGGACAGGATGACCGACAGGCTGGGGTCACCTGGGACCAAGGGGTCTCCCGGGACATGGGACTTTCGGTGCTAAAACCCAGGGGGTCCAGGGTAAACAGGGACCATTGGTTGCCTGCCTTAGCTGTGGACAAGGGAGAGGAGAAGTCCTCTGAAGCTGGGAAGAAGAGGGAGAAGGGCGCTGGAGCCCGTACTGGAGGGGCAGGACCTCAGTGAGGTTGAGGCAGGCAACCTCAGAGCCAGTCCTTCAAAGAGACACCTGCTCTGGCTTATCCTCATACACAGAGCAGAATGAGCTGCACTTTCTTCTGAAATCGGCCTTGACAAGATAACCACAGAACGGGCCATAGTGGCCTCAACCCGCCCCTGGGTGGAGACTTAACAACCTAATGAAAGCAAATCCACCCCTTCCTCCATCCTGGGGGATCGAACCCTTGTCTAAAGAAAATGCGTAGTCATCCTCAAGCTCTGAGCACCTGCGTGAATGTCAATCCTGGATATTCACACTGAATTTACACTTCCTTGTCTGCTCTCTATAAAAGCCCACCTCCCCAAGCTGCCTGCGAGCAGTCTTGGAAGCAGCAGCCCCGAGTGCTCCTCTTCTTGTGCAATGAAATAACAGCGTCTCCCTCATCTCCCACCTCGGCCTCTTGTTTATTGGCTGTGACAAGTCACGCCGAGCAAAACCTGGGGTTTTCACCCGGCAACAAGGTTGGAGGCACCCGGGCCCTGGGCACCTGCAAAGACTCCCATGCCCAAGCTTGGCATGGGCCCCGAGAGCCATGAGGGCCTGGAGACAAGGGGCCGACCACTTTCCAGAGACTGCATAAGGCCCCCAGTTCCCAAGCACCCCTAGGGAAGTCAGGAGAGGCTCCCACTAGTACCCCCCCAGCCTCCAGGACAGGCGCACCAAGTCAGACTCATTTTGATTTAAAGGAGAGAATGTGGCGTTTCTTACACACAGGATTTGTGGAGGAAGACTCATGCCTTTGCACAGCAGAACTCCTAATGCTGGCATTCAGTGTTCTTACCCACATTTAGTGGACAGGGAATGAAGGCACAGAGAAGTCAAGTGACTTGCCCAGGGTCACACAGTCCACAGCAGTCAAGGTCTCCACCAATTGCCTGAAGGCCTTACCCTGAAGCACACACCCGACTCAGTCCTCTCCTTGGCAAAGGGGTAGGGGGAGTGGAGGGAGGGACTGTTAGGGGTTATAGGCAGAGGGTCTTTCTGGCTGCCTCTGGGTGAGGTATGTTTACCATCCAGAAGATAAAGCTGCATTCTGGAAAATGGATTAAGGAAGGAAGTCTCAGAGAGCACACAGCTGCTACAATGGGACCATATTAACTCTCCCAATTCCTGAATGCTGAAATACATAATGGAAAATCATATCATTTTGTATAATGCATTGATATAGTCCAGTACAATGAGTCCACTCCACTTAGCCTGTGAGTATTTAATAGCCTGTGCACTTACTCTCTAATGCAAAGGGGCTGACCCAATAGGAATGACTGGGGATTGGTCCACCTCACACCTGTCAGGTACCTCTTTCTCAACATCAGGTCCAGGTACATTTCAGGCAACCCAGAGATGGAAGGCAGGACGCAGTATTACCGGAGGGACCTTCAAACGCTGCTACTGATTACGAGCAGTGCAGAACAGTCCCCAACATCCTCCTCCAGCTGTAATTACCGGGCAGCATGGTGTCCTGATCAGCTCATACGATGGGCAGTAGAATAGCTTTCTTGAGATTTAAACCAAGCTTAAGCTAATGCATTTCCATTAGATCAGTGGTTCACAGCCTGGACTACCATTAGAATCACCTGCAGAGCTCTGAAAAATACTGATGCCTGGGCACTGTCCCCAGAGCTTCTAACTTGATTGCTCTGGGGTAGGGTCCAGGCACAGGAGCTTGTAAAAGACACCCAGGTGATTCGAATGTGCGGCCAGCGCTGACAACCTCGTGTGAGATCGGCATTTTTCACATTTCAGCATCATCAGAATCACCTGGAGAACTTGTGAAAGCACCAGTGCTGGGCTCCACATCCATAGTTTTTGATTCAGTAGGTCTAGGATGGGGCCTGGGAATTAATTTGCATTTCTAAAAGCTCTCCGGGGATGCCAATGGACGCTACTGGTCCAGGGACCATACTTTGACAACTATTGCATTAGCTCAGCCAGTCTCAACAAAGCGCGATTTCTCCCCAAGGGGCATCTGGCAATGTCTGGAGACATCTGTTAGAACTGGGGGGTAGGCAGAGGCCAGGAATGCTGCTACACGTCCTGTAATGCGCAGCCCACCCCCGCAGCCAGATTATCCAGTTTAAAATGCCAGTAGTGCCAAGGTAGAGAAGCCCTGCATTAAATCAATCCCCCTAATAGGTTCTTGAAGAAAAGACAAACTAAGCCCCCAACTCTCAGCCCCTTTGCTCATCTCCAGGATCCTCCTTGTAGTTTCTGCTCCCCTGCAACTGCTGTCCCCTCAAGGTGCTCCCCCAAGCTGTCGGCCCCCCTGGAAAGCTCAGCCTAGGGCTTGATCTCAGCTCTGCCCTGTCTGGCTGGCAAGGACTCCCTCGCAGAGCCTTAACTCCCTCGCCTGCCAAATGGGACAGCAACAGCACCTACCTCATAGGGTTGTTGTGAGCATGAAATCAGACAATGTGTATAAGGCGTTACTGTTTCATATGATGCATATATGTGCTAATACAGTCAGCAGTAAGCACTAGGAAGTGCTCAGTCATGCAACTATTGTTCTTATTTTTTCTGCCTGTGACATCTTCCTGCCATGAGTGAATGAGACCAGTTCTGAAAGAAACCCGGTGGGGTTTGTAAGAGCTCGGTCCGTTTGTAAAGGGAGTTGCAGCAGACACGGTGGTTGCTCACCCAGCAGCCGTCCTTCCACCCCTTCCTTTCCTGGAGCACCCTGATTTTCTCTGGGCAGCCTCTGCTCCCCTCCGACTTCGATGTAGATCCCGACTGGTGTGGCCACTCCTGGTAATCCAATCCCCTTGCAGGGACTGGCTTGTGGGTAGATAGGGGACCATGGAAGCTTCCAGGAAGCGTTTCCCTGCTGATTGTGACACCCCTGGGAAGAGCCGGCCAGCCCCTTCTCTGTTAGGTGTGGCTGGGTGCAGCTGGGGATGCGGACCGTGGTGGCCATCTGGTGACTCTGAACCTGAGCCTCAACGCCACAGCTGAGCTGCACACTGACCAGCCCCTGAGCTGTCCTCCCACTGGACTTCTTACTTGTGAGATGACACATTTTCCTTGCAATTTAAGCTAACTGGGTTGGATTTTCTGTTAGTTTAGCTAATGGCATCCTGGCTGCCGCTTAACTGATGGTCCTCAGCTGACCTTGAGAGGCAGTCCTGGGAGGGGACACAGACCAGGAACAAGGCTAAGAGGGGCTATGTCCCTACCTGGAGGGAGCCAGCCTGCAGAGTCCCCACTAGCCACTGGGCTCTAGCACTGCTCCAAGTGTGAGGGGACAGGGCCAAGTTCTGAGGATTGGTGCCTTCTCTCTTGAACAGAGGGGGCCCAGTCCTTTTCACTGGCCAAGGGGGAAGGCACTGAGTGATGGGCCCCAGCCTGGGGAGGACACTGACCCAAAGGTTTCTCTGCTGTGCCTGATGGTCTCCCTGCTGTCATCTTACCGTCTCTGGTCCATCCCCCATGCTGCAGCTGGAGTGATCTTTCTAGGACACTGAGCTACCATGTCCTTCCCTTGCTTCAAACCCTTTGGACGCTACCCACTGTTCTCAGGATAAACCCAACTCTTTCTGCCAGCTTGCAGGTCTCCCTACCTCTCTCTCTCACCTCTCTTTGCCTCTAACTCAACCTGCTTACAATGCCTGGCATTTGTCTTGCTATGAGCCTTTGTTCATGTTGTCCTTGTGGCCTGGAGTACCCTCTTCCCACCCCACCTTCCCCGACCCTGCTAACTCCTGCTCATCTTATAAGACTCAGCATGGCTGTCAGCCCCTCCGGGGTGCTTTCAAATGTTCTCACAGCTGCCCCTACTCTCTGCTCCCAGAATACCCTGAGCACATCACCGTCATGCACTGACCACGCTGTGGTTGCCCCTGATGGCTTCTGTCTTGCCCAGGGGTGCCATGAAGGCAGGGCCATGTCTGCTCTGTTCACTGCCGGGCAGCCACGTCCAGTTGGCAGTGCGTGCTTTGCACAAGCCCAATCAGCCACAGGGCAGAAAAAGGCTGGGATCTAGCCTGTGCCCTGCTCACTGGGACCTCTGCTCGGGCATGGGGCTGTACTCACCTGGAAGAAGGGTACCCTTCTGTAATTCACACAGAGCTGTCCTGTGACCGGTGGCAGCCCTGTTCACTGCTGCATCTGCTGGTCTGGGACAGTGCCTGCCCACACATGCCACACGCTGGCAGAGTAGGTACTCCACAAGCGTATCTTGCACTAAATGAGTGAACAATCCAGCACCCCCACCTAGGAGTCCCTAGCCTCCTGCTTCCCGCTGGTCTCCCTTCCAGGCAAACTGTGGTTTGGGGGCAGAAGGCGGCCACAGGACAGGCCTGCCCTTGCCCTTGCCCTTGCCCTTGAACTTACCCACAGTGGTGAACACTGTGCAGCAGAAAAAGAGCGCGCTCAGGAAGAACCAGTCTGAGAACCTGGCCAGCCACTGGGGCTTCACCTTCAGCAGCAGCCTCCAGAGACTCTGCTTCCTGCTTTCCTCAACTCAAGAAAGAGACAATCAGAGTGAGTAGGCATGGTCCCACCCTTCAAGACAGTCCCGCCCAGGCAAAGTGGACGGCATCTTCCCGAGCGAGTAACCAGCAGCTCCCTGTCCTGTGCCCCCACCCACACCAAAGCTCAGCTCTCACAGCCCACCTTCAGGATGTTTCTGCAGGTGAGGTCCTGCCTCTGGTCCCTGCAGGGATTAGGCCACCCTGCCCTGTGAGAAAAGCACTCAACTGAGTGCCCACAGGGTCCGGGGTGGCCATGGACTGGCTGTGCAGCCTTGTGGGGCTTTCTTAACTTGCCAAACCTCTGTTTCTTTCACCTTTTAAAAGGATAACTTCTGCTTTGTGTCTCTCACTGGGTTCTTGAGAACTGAAAGCCAAAAGGCTTTTATGAAGTGCAAGCTGTCAAATGGATGCCAACTGTCCCCGCTCCCTCAAGGCCATTAAGGCTGATGGAATTTGGTCATCAGACTTAGACCTGTGGGCACCAGCTGCCTGAGCATGCCTCTTCCAGGGCTCCAAAGTCTTGGCTTCCAAGATGTCCCTCCCAGGGCCAAGAGCAGGACTAGGGCCCTGATTTCTCAGGGAGATTCCCAGTGGTTCTGTTGGGCTGGGTGGTCGGTGGACTTTGGGATGAGAAAAGTCACCCGTCTCTGGTGTGGCCAAACTAGGATGACACCGAGCCTGGCACACAGCAGGAGGGCACTACTCATTTGAATGGCACCAGCCTGGGAGCCCAGACCCAGCTCTGACCCTGACCAGGTCCTGCAGCCATGGAGAAGAGGCTGCTTTCTGAGCCTCAGTTTCCCCATCAGGGAGGTAGCACGACAAGGTGGCTTAAAGCTCTGGCTCTGCAGTCCAAGTGCCTGGGGCTGCATCCCTGGCTCCACTGTCTAGTCTGTGACCTGGGGCAAGTTGCTTAACCTCCCCATGCCTCAGTTTCCTGATCTGTAAAAGGGAGACAACAATTCATACCCACCTCATAGGGTGGTTGTGAGGATTAAGTGAGATCAGGCATGAAAAGTGCTCGGCCCAAGGTCTGCACTTAGCTACGCTTACTGAGCATTATAATCTTCAACAAAATTCTGACAAAATGGGGATCAAACCAGCTCTGTGTTTGCCATACCATGCTGTGCATCAGAATCATTTTGAAAGCTTTTAAAACGAGAGTTCCAGCCCAGCCCCGGAGATCTGATTTAGTGGTTTTGGGGCAGAGCCTGGGAACATGTATTTTAAACAAGCTCCCTGGACGATTCTGATGTGTGGCCTGGCTTTGAGAGCCCCAAACTTGCTGAAAGTCTGGGACCCTGTGATGGCTGGGAGTGTCCAAACTGGTGGTGATGACATCTCCCAGGTCAGCCAAGTAGGTGTGTGTCCATTTGCCCCAGATGCAGAGACAGGGAGTAGGACCCTCCACGGAGAGGAGACTGTGTCCCTTGACCAGGTTCTAGTCATCCCCAGCTAAAAGGACCTGCTCACAAAGCAAGGTCCAGCCTGTGGGAACAGCTGTAAGCAGTCACACTGAGGGCCCACCACATGGAGGGACCACCTTCCTGAGGGCTCACCATACTGAGGGCCCGCTTTCCTGAGGGCATGCCACCCTGATTACCTGCCATACTGGGGCCCACTACACTGAGGGCCTGCCTTCCTGAGGGCCTGCCATGCTGAGGACCTGTCACGCTGAGGGCCTGCCACACTGAGGACTTGTCACGCTGAGGGCCTGCCATGCTGAGAGCCCACCACACTGAAAGCCCGCCATGCTGAGGGCCTGCCACACTGAGGGCCCGCCATGCTGAGGGCCTGCCACACAGAGGGCCTGCCACGCTGAGGGCCTGCTGCACTGAGGGCCCGCCATGCTGAGGGCCTGCCACACAGAGGGCCTGCCACGCTGAGGGCCTACTGCACTGAGGGCCCGCCATGCTGAGGGCCCGCCACATTGAACACCCACCTTCCTGAGGACCCACCATACTGAGGCCTGCCACACTGAGGGCCTGCCTTCCTAAGGGCCTGCCATACTGAAGGCCGGCCATACTGAGGGCCTGCCACACTGAGAGCCCGCCACGCTGAGGGCTTGCCACACTAAACACTCACCTTCCTGAGGACCCACCATACTGCTGAGGGCCCGCCACACTGAGGGCTTGCCACACTGAACACCCACCTTCCTGAGGACTCACCATACTGAGGGCCCGCCACACTGGGGACCCACACACTGAGGGCCTGCCACACTGAGGGCCTGCCTTCCTAAGGGCCTGCCATACTGAAGGCCGGCCATACTGAGGACCTGCCACACAGAGGACCCACCATACTGGTCTACACAGCTGGGGAAAGGGGGCTTCCTGGACACTGTTCTCCCCCTGACTGGGCTGAATACACCTCTGCAAGCTTCCTTTGGGGAACAGGGCAGAGGGGGAATCAATGACTAAATACAAATGAAGTATAATACATTACAAATGAAATGCAATCAGGAAACATATAAAGCGTTTTCTGCTTTCCAAAGAGGCTTCATGTTCATGATCTCATCTGCTTCCCACAGGGTCCTTGTGACTGGCAGGCCTGAGACTATGGGCCCCCTTCTCTCCCACAGACTGAGACCCAGAGAGGGCAAGGGTGCTGCCCCAAATCACACAGCAACCCGGACTAGAACCAGGTCCCCAAGTTCTTCTCATCCCTCTTCTCTCCTCACCCAGTCTGACAAGAGAAAAAACTTTAGAAATAACAAGTGGGAGAGTAAAGAGGGCAGGCTGATTGTCCTGGGGGTCCAAGCCCAGCTTGGACTTGCCTTCAACTCTGATCCCTGCAAACCAAATCATGGGGTGGATCAGCCATTTTGAGGAGCTGCCTAGGAACTCCAGCCCCAAAACTGCTCCCTATGCACCCCACCCCACCCAACTCTAGCAATCCATGTTCCCCAAGCCTGCTGATTGGGGTGGGGCTGGGAGCTGAGGCAAAGGGGAGGGAACTGGGCCTTCCAGAGCACATACTGTGTGCTCAGTGCTGCACGTACATTCTGTCAACCCATCTTCACAGCAACCCTGACAGGCCCTTATTCTCCCCATTTTACAGAGAAAACTGAGGCTCAGAAAGGTGAAGTCACTTGTCTAAGGCTACTCAGAAGTGGGAAGGACCCAGCCTCCTACAAGGCAGACCTCTGCTCTCTGGGGATGCCTCTGCCCACTGGGAAAATGCCCGCCCTGCCCAGGTGAGCCACTTACCTGTTCTGCTGCATTTCAAGATGTTGCAGAGCTTCTCTAAGAACTCCTCAAACTCCTAATCGTCTGCCCCGAGGTTCTGGCCGCCCTCAATGGCAGAGACGAGGACGGCCCCCACCAGCGAGTAGGTCACCAGGGAGCAGAGGAAGCAAAGGCAAGGGAAGCGTTTCCCCAAGGACACGGGGCAGCGCCTCTCAGGTTGGGTGGGCCTCGCAGCGTCCACCCTCGCAGGATCGCCTGCACAGGGCAGGAGGAACTGGCCGAAGAAGCTGGAGTGCCAGGCTCCACCAAGAGGAGGAGGAAGGGAATGTCCAGAGAATGGCCCGGCTCCAGTGCTAAGTGCTTTGTGTGTGGCTTCCCAAAGGACCGGGAAGCAACCAGCAGCTCAGCGCTCATCCAGCTGGGCATATGGCACCCCAGTCAGTGCCCCAAATTGCTATTGATCCTCCAGGCCGACATGCGCCCAGGGCCCAGAGCCGCCTGGCAGGGACTTTGGGAGGACGGCGAAGTGGTTACTTTGGGTTTCGTGTGGCCTTTCAGATCCCGAAGCCGCAGGTTCGACTCCTGCAGGTCGTGAGCACAACTACCGACCAACTTGTGCTTTTCAGTCACGTGACTATCCTCTGGGGGCTGTCTGGGGTGCTTTTTGGCCTGGTGTCCCTGCTCTCCTGGGCAGGTGGTAAGTATAACTAGTGCGGCCAGAGCTCCGCTGGTTACAAAAGGCTTTTAAGACTGTAGATTGTGTAGGGGCCGTAGCTATTGGTATCAATTTGCCACTCCCAGCCCCTCCATGGCGTCCAGGTGGGCGGAGTTGATCCCTCCTCTCCACGTGATTTTGGGCCAGACCACGTGACTTGCATCAGCCAATGGGACCTCAGCAGAGACTAAGCTCGCAGACGCTTGGAATATGTTTCCGCAGTAGAACTTGTGCTTCTGTAGCCGCCTCTGCCCTAAGGAAAAAGGGCGCCACATGGCGGACTTGGAGGTGCAGGCACCACACTATTCGGTCTCTTTTCAAGAAAGGACTCGCTGCACAGCTTCCAAGACCCTCCAGCTCTTAGTTCCTTCAGGGCTGGCCTCAGCTTTCGGGCCCTCATCTCGGTGAAGCCCCTGCACGGTGACTGAGCAAGGCCCTGAGGGCACACTTGGAAGAGGGCGGTAAGTGCGACGAAGTCCAGTCCCCGGTGCTCCAGTGGGTTTTAGGGCTACACCTGATCATCTCCCTCCTCCATTTTCAGTCCTAAACCCCTCTTGCGGCCTGCTATGTCTTCCGCTGGTCTCAGTAGCTCAACTGACGGCATGACCCAGATCTTCATGCCTGAGGGATCTGAGCCCTTTGGTCACCATATTTCTTTCAAGGTGGAGTTGCTAGCGCTTGTCCGTTCACAGACACAATTGGGCAAGAAGTGCCGAGAGGTACCAAGTGGGCCCCCTGAGTTCCACTTGTATTCCTGTCTACCCTACCTCCTTCTGCTGGCCAGGTTGATTACCCCAACAAGATGGTCACTCCTTGTCTTACTTGCTCGTTCCTGAACACAAGGATCCTAAAGTGCCCAGGCAGCAGCCGTAGCATGTAGTTCAATGGGCCCCTTGCTGGGCTTCCTGGTGACTCTGTCCCCTTTGGGGATCAGGACCTCTAAACTTGCAGAACTCAGAGTTGTGGTGATGGAAGACAGTGAAGGAATGTGGCCATGTAATTCTCAGTTTGAAGTGTAAAGCATCCACTAATTCATTACTTTTTTAGTGCCCTAAAGAAAGTGAAGGGAAGATCCTCAAGCCTTGAATAAGCCTGGGTCTCCCACCCTGCAGCTGTTTCTAGATTCCTAGGTGGGGCAGGGGGAAAGAGGACTGGTTGCACAATTGTTAAGCAGCTCCGCGACTAACCAAGGGGTTGTTGGTTTGAACCCCCCCAGCTGTTCTGCAGGAGGAAGTCCCGCTGATCTGCTCCCATAAAGATTACAGTCTGGGAAATCCTATGGGGCAGTTCTCCTCAGTCACACTGGATCACTATGAGTTGACAATCAGCTTAGCAACAACAGGTGGGGTAGGGAGGGTCAGGGAGAGAATAGAAATGGAATAAATGTTTATGACCGTTACATCTTTTTAAGTTAAAATTTGATTTTGAGGTAACTGCACATGCAGTTGTAAGAAATAATACACGGAGATCTTCTGTATCCTTTATCCAGTTTCCCCCAATGATAATATCTGGCAAAACCATAGTACAACATCACAATCAGGATATCAACATTGATATAGTCAAGATACAGAACAGTTCCATCACCACGAGGATTTCTGTTGCTCTGTTATAGCTGTATATACCTCCCATTGCCCCCTCTCCCTAAAAACCACTAATCTGGTTTTTATTTCTGTAATTTCTCTAGTATTCAAGAATGTTATGTAAGTTGATCATACTGCATGTAACCTTTTTAAATCGGCTTTTTTTTTTTCACTCTGAGCTTTATCCAAATTATTGTGTATATCAATAGTTTGTTCCTTTTCGTTGCTAAATAGTATTCCATGATATCACAGTTTGTTTAACCATTCATCCATTGAAGGATATCTGGGTCATTTCCAGTTTGGGGCTATTACAAATAAAGCTGCTGTGAATATTCATGTGCAGTTTTGGGAGGATGAGCATAAGTTTTCATTACTCTAGAATAAATGCTCACGAGTATGATTGTTAGGTCGTATAGTAGTTACTTGTTTAGTTTTATAAGAAACTTGTCAGCCCATTTTCTAGAGTGGCTGTACCATTTTAGATTCCCACCAGCTGTGTCTCAGTAATCCAGTTTCTCCACATCCTCATCAACATTTGATGTTATTAGTAGTTCTTATTTTAGCCATTCTGATAGGTCTGTAATGATGTCACATTGTGGTTTTCATTTGCATTTCCCTAGTGGTTAATGATGTTGAATATCTTTCCATGTACTTATTTTCCATCTATATATCCTCCTTCCCCCAAGCGTCTGTCAGTTTGTCCTGCTTTGGAGGCTTGCGTGTCACTGTGATGCTGGAAGCTTTGCCACCAGTATTCAAATACCAGTAGGGTCACCCATGGCTGACAGGTTTCAGCTGAGCTTCCAGACTAAGACTAACAAGAAGAACCTGGCGGTCTACTTCTGTAAAGAATTAGCCTGTGAAAACCCTATGAATAGCAGTGGAACATTGTCTGATGCGGTGCCAGAAATGAGCCCCTCGGGTGGAAGGGCACTCAAAAGATGACTAGGGAAGAGCTGCCTCCTCAAAAGAGTTGACCTTAATGACTGGATAGAGCTTTTAGGACCTTCATTTGCTGATGTGGCACGACTCAAAATGAGAAGAAACAGCTGCAAACATCCATTACTAATCAGAACGTGGAATGTATGAAGTATGAATCTAGGAAAATTGGAAATTGTCAAAAATGAAATGGAATGCATAAACATTGATATCCTAGGCGTTAGTAAGCTGACATGGACTGATATTGGCCATCTTGAATCTGACAATCATATGGTCAACTATGCTGGGAATGATAACCTGAAGAGGAATGGCATTGTGTTCATTGTCAAAAAGAATATTTCAAAATCTGTTCTAAGGTACAGTGCTGTCAGTGATAGGATAATATCCGTACGCCTACAAGGAAAGTCAGTTCATATGACTATTTTCAAATTTATGCACCAGCCACTAAGGCTAGAGATGAAGAAGCTGAAGATTTTTACCAACTTCTTCAGTCTGAAATTGATCAAACGTGCAATCAGGATGCATTGATAATTACTGGTGAGTGGAATGCATAAGACTGGAAACAAAGAAGGATCGGTAGTTGGAAAATATGGCCTTGGTAATAGAAACCATGCCAGAGATTGCATGATAGAATTTTGCAACACCAGTGACTTCTTCATTGCAAATACCTTAAACGACCACTATACACATGAACCTCACCAGGCAGAATACATAGGAGTCAAATCGACTACATCTGTGAAAGAGACGATGGAAAAAATATCATCAGAAAGAACAAGGCCAGGGGCTGACTGCGGAACAGACTATCAATTGCTCATATGCAAGTTCAAGCTGAAGTTGAAGAAAATTAGAACAAGTCCATGAAAGCCAAAGTACAACCTTGAGCATATCCCAGCTGATTTTAAAGACCATCTCAAGAATAGATTTGACGCCTTGAACACTAATGACTGAAGACCAGATGAGTTGTGGAATGACATTAAGGACATCATACGTGAAGAAAACAAGAAGTCGTTAAAAAGACAGGAAAGAATTAAAAGATCAAAATGGATGTCAGAAGAGACTCTGAGAGGAGGTAGGGCCAAGATGGAGTAGTCAAATGCTTCCGGTGGACTCTCTTATACCAAAGACCCGGAAAAAAAAGTGAATCAATTATACACGACAGTTTAGGAGCCCTGAACATCTAAGCCAAAGTTGAGGAAGTGGACTGAGTGGCAGGGGGAGGGAGAGACAGTGCGGAAGCAGTGAGGAGTTGCCAGACCTGGCCCAGTGAGAGCCTGAGCCCTTCAGGCCTGATCAGCTCATGTGTGAGCGGTGAGGCAGGCAAGCAGTGGTGCTCAGAAGGCACGTTTTCCGCACCGGGAGAGACCCAGTGCCAGAAACTTTACTTGGCCACCCAGAACCAGTGAGAAGCAGCCCTCGATCGGCGAAAGATAAGTACTTACGTACGGCCTACTGCGTGGATCAAAAACAACCCCCTTAGGGAAAAACCTCTCTCCCATCTACCTCCCTGCTCCCTGCTCTGCACTGGGTCCCAGACCGGCTTCAGCAGTTGCCGAGTCCCCTGGGCCAGAAGTAGGATCCGTCACACACCCTGAGCCATTCTCCCGGCCTTGGAGAGTGAACAAATTAACAAATGGGAAAAAATAAACTCCTGGCTCCCCTAAGGCAGGAACCCAGGGTAGGCACAGCTCCTTTGCCTAGGCACAGGCATAAGGGATCCACAGACTTTGAGGGCCTTTCCCCCTGCAGAGACTTGTGTGGGCCCATTTCAACAGCATAGGCCCTCATTACCACAGTTTAACGGTATATACCTAAAGTCTAACTTAAACTGTTTCAGCTGTGCAGTGGTAGGCTCGTGACATTTGACACTGCTCTGCCCATTAAGCAAGGTCTTCACTTACCGACATCAGGGGCCTGAGGACTGGTGGCTCCACCCATGCCACCCAGTCACTTGTGATAGGGGCCCAAGAATAAGAGGTGCCCCCAGTGCTTACAGCAAACAGCATTGGGTGCTCACAGTCCAGCTGCAAAACCCACCCACCTGTGCGCTCTAGGGAACAGGGACACACCTTCCTCCTGGACACTTGGGGGTGGCCTTCAGCCTCCTGCCTTGCTCAGGTGTGATCCCCTGTTGCAGCCAGATGTCTGTGCCTACACCAGACACCCATGCCTGTCTAGGACTGTAGGTGAGAGCCTACACCACACACTTGGTGGCTATCTACGTGGGCACCTGAGCTGAATCCATACAGGAGGAGTGGGCGAACTCCTAGGCTCACATACTTAGTAACAGATCTAACCACCTGGTTACAGGACGTTAGAGCTTCGAGGGTGCTAATAATCAAACTAGCTCATACAAGCAGCCTATTTGGGCATATCAAAACAAAACAAGAAGCTAGGACACAGTAAGCAAACATAAAATAAATAAATATAATAACTTCTTGATGTCCCAGAGTCA